TTGACAAGAATTAATTCTTTATTTCAAATTATTCAATCGTTTTTTCACCATCGTCTAGTTGTTGGTATAGTTCTAGCTTATCGAATGAGCACGGTCATCGGGCAGCTAGCCAGTTTCTCATCGCTTTCAAACCAAACTAATCATTCCCTTCTGAATAATGAAGACTATTCTTTAACAATTACGCTGTCCTTTTAATCATGTTATCACTCGATCGCTTTGCTGACATTTCAAAAGTTAATATAGTTATCTTTTTATATCATTTTATGACAACATTGTTTGCTCTCATGGATTTTTTATCAGCCTATTGATTTTTTTTCCCAGGGAAAATATTGTTATTTCGGCAAAGATGAACCTTGAGTCAAGTGACCCCCCCTCCCTTACACTAGCGCTGTTTGTCACTGTTCATTAAAATGAGAGCGAAAACTGTTCTAAGAATATCTACCTACAAACTTCACATCTTGACGAGGGCAAACTTTTTTCATCCTATTAATATTGCAGCCTTCAATCAACAGCGAGTAATTAGTGTGAATTGGCTGGGTAATGCATGCGCTGACAGTGTCGTATGTGTACAAAGGCATATACGTATACATACGTATGCCTGCACGCCCAGACACGTAAATGAACAGACACATACGGGCACACACACACACACATGTATATATATATATATATATATATATATATATATATATATATACGCGAAGGCACAAGAACACTTTCTCTCACATACACACACGCATATATATACTATTGAGTAGACATGCGCAGGCGCAGAATGACATAAACGACATATATCCACGCGCATAGATGGAAACACATACATACATACATATATATAGTCATCCATCAACAGGTACATACGCATACACAAATACATAAATCCATGGACAGGCACATGCGAATACACAAATGCATACATCCATGGATAGACGCATGCACGTACAGACACATACATGCATACATACATACATACATCCACATAGGAACAAACTTACACCCCACCCGCTTATATACTATTGAGCACACAGACGCATTCGCGCAATAACATAAACGATATACATACATACATACATACATACATACATACATACATACATACACACGGACATTGGCAGGCAGGCCTACACACACGCATCCACACACACACACATACACACACACACATACACACACACACACACACAGGAACATTCACATACACGAACGCACAAGAACACGGGAACGCACAGTAATACACGCATCCTCAAGGACACATGGCACAGTGGATAAAGGCGTTGGTTAGACCCAGTGACAGACCCAAAGACGGTGAGTTCAATACCTGGTTAAGGCAGTGGAGAACTTTCAGAGGGAAATTAACAGGAGATAACTGATAACTGGCATCCATCAAACATGGCACGTGGAACTAGAACAGTCTACCCCAGTGATCGAAATAAAGGGTTCAGTTCGAAATTCCAACCACCTGAAAAGGCCGGAGCGTACAACGGCCGAAACGTTGTGACAAATATGGCGACAAAGATGAGGACAATAGTCCGACTAATGTAAATACTGTACATAATACCTCATCTCAGAAATATAGACAGACGCATCCACATATTGAACACACATACACAATCAGGTAGGGGCGCCTGAACACGCACAAACATATATATAAATACATATATACATGTTAATACATATCCCCGCCAGGAATAATGGTTAGTCGTGTTGACTACACATTTTGAGTAGTGAGTTTAATCCTCACTGGGTTCTCTATATAAATGGATTGGCATGTCGTAAAAATCAACCAACCAATAATCTTTTGTTTTTATCATGAAATTTCTTTTGTTAGGTTCATCTTGTAATTTACGTCCGGTAATTCCCTTGAAGAGCTACAAAGGACAGATATATTCTCTAACACTCAGTAACCTCTTGTGTCTTAGTGGCCTATTATCTTACCTGGGGTGAAATGATTAAAAATAAAATCAGTGAATCTAACTTATAAACACATCCATTTTGAGAGTTTGTACTTTTGTTGAATAGGCTCAATGCTTTCCGACCACTACAATATTAATCTTTTTAAGTCTCCGGCCTTTAGTTATCTACTTTCAATTATCTCATTCAGTGACACTATCTTGAGTGGCACTTAGGCCTTGCATTGGTGGAATCAATAATAAAAATAAATACACACGGGCATACAAATACGCACTCATTAATACACACGGGCAAACAAACACGCACTCATTAATACACACGTACACATATAGACACAGAAAAGACAAACGATGGACAATCTAAAATGGCAGACATTTTTTTTTTACTTTTATCTGACTGGAAACATTTAATAACTCAAGATTAAAACATAAAAACAAAATAAAACAAACCCCCCCCCCCAAAAAAAAACAAATCAAAAAATGAAAATATCCTTTTTCCGACAAGGATTAAATCAACCCCCAAAATATTATTTGATTAAATGATTATTAATGATATATTAAATAAATTACGTTTAATAGTAAATTAATCGCGTACGGCGGAGTAATGGATAGCGGACTGAGCAATTGAAGAGCCGAGTTCGAATTCCAGTCGAATCCATTACATTTGCTTACGTGCTAATACCCTTGGAAAAGGTATAAATCCTCTTCTCCCCCAGATATGGGTAAATGGCGGGAAAGAAATGGCAACCTACTGCGGGAATAAATCTGCCTCGTCAGTCATGTATCGAAAGATGATCGCCTAAACTGACAAATAGTTTCTGCGGCGTGTTACTCTCTTTGAAGTTAGAAAAGGTCCTTCAAATTTATTTGCAAAGCAAAGAAATCCAAGAATTTCTTTGTGGAAAGTGCATTCAAAGCGAAGGAAATATTTTTCATGCAACATAAAAACGTTCCGACAAAGTGTTAGAAAATTAAAAATCAGCCTTTCTCTTCGGATTTATTTCTTTTACACGATTTTTTATATAAAAGACGAAAAAAAAAGCCCTTTTACAAGAATTAAGATACCAATAAAGCTTCTATATGTGGTGTCTCGTCAGGACATGGACAATCGTTGCTCTCCACTACTTCCTATCATTTGTAACTCTTAGAAAGTTTTGCTATTTTACTATCCCTCCTACTCCCTATATAGGTAGGCTACTCGCTGCATTCCCCTGTCCATCTTGCTTTCAATATGTCCTGTGAGTATTAAATTATCCAAGCCCTCTTTTCTCATTATGTGTCCTAGAATTTCAACTCTCTAAGTGCAAGCGTCCTTTTTGTTTCCATTTTGATTAAAACTTCCTCGCTACTTACATCAATAATCGTGTATCATTATGCAATATTCTTTCGAACAAATTTCCTCATCTTTGTTGTTTTTACTGTGACGTTTCGCCCACTCTGTATTCTCCGGCCTTCCTCACTGGACAAAACGCTGATAAAGAAGTAGTAGGTTCAATCCTTGTCTCGGATCGCGGGTGGGGAGAGATAGAGTAAGACTATTACGTGTTTTCAAATTCCCTAGGAAGGACATTGGAGGTGATAGCTAAATGAATGAGATTAAAATATCCTGGATAGACAAATAAAGATAATGCTGGAGGAAGCCCTGAGTGTACAGTAGACAAAATGGGATAATAACAAATAATAAAAAAATTGACATCTCCGCTTCAGTTACTTCTCTAACGTAGTTTCCCTTTCTATAAACATTTTCATGGTATCTGTTCAGATGAGCTTTCCTCTTCGCCGTCCTGGGTATGACGATAAACTACATCCGCGTCCAGGGTAAGACGATAAACTACGTCCAACTGCAAGGCCTCCGATCAGGCGGTTTTGAGGAGTGTGGAACCACCTCTTAATTGATGGTGTCCCCAGGTCCACCCTGACCCGGGTGGTAGCACCTGTTAGGGTCCCAGCTATGGGCAAATAGTTAACCACGAAACTGAGGTAAAAAGCATTATAAAAGTGTAAAAATATGTTTTAATACCAGAAATACTTTGTAAAAAATTATTACCAGAAATAATTTTTTGATGAAAAAGAAATTTACCAGCAATACGTTTTTGAAAAAATAATATTACCAGCTCTACATTTTTGAGGAAAAAATATTAGAAATAGATTTTTGACAAAACAAAAATATTTCCAGGAAAAAAAAGTTGTCGGCATTAAATAACCCATTGAGGTTGATATGCTGTAAAAGAAAATAAACCAAACCCATCTAAACCAAAGAATACATATTCTATTCATATGAATCTATCCTAAAAACGTTGTCGGCATTAAATAAACCATTGAGATTTATATGCCGTAAAACCAAATAAACCAATTCATTCTAAACAAAAGAATACATATCCTATTCATAGGAATCTAAAAATGTTGTCGGCATTAAATGACCCATTGAGGTTGATATGCCGTAAAACAAATCAAATCAAACCAAACCAAACTTTCCTCTTCGTTACCACGACTTTACGCATTTAAGCGCTGTACTAGATTGGCGGTTAGGTCTCATCATTTTACAGTTGAAATGATTAGATATAGCGATACCGTAAATGCTAACGAATTCTTTTCTCGCTTGTGGAACTCTCTTCCGGCTTCTTGCTTTTCAAATTTAAATGCAATGTCAATCGTTATCTTAATTTCTGTTATTTTATTGTTCCTACTCCTTAGTAATGTTTTTTTTCTTCATATTCTCTAACACTCATTAACCTCTTGCGTCTTAGTGACTTTATTGCCTTGCTTGGGATCAAAACTATTTAAAAAAATTTAATGTCATTTAAACCAGTGCTACACAAAGTGTGGTACGTGTACCGGTGCCAGTACGCGAGCTATCGTCTGTCGGTACACAGAGTGTTTCCAGGAAACAAAGAAACAACACTCCACGGAAGACTGTCGGGATATTTGATTCGATTCTATTTTAATATTTTCATTTTAGTTTTATATTTATTATGGTTACATTTTTCAATTACTCATGTTAAATGTCATTGTAATACAAGTAATGTGATATAATGAACAGAAAAACAGTGAAATAAAATACGTATGCCAACACCATCATCATAATGTGGC